TATAGTCAGTTTGCGTCAGATTAGAGAATGAATTGCTGCTGTAAAACTTATCAAACTGATGAGCATGGTAAACAGTTTTTTTATCATATCAGCCAAATTGTTTGAGTAATCTGTAAAGCCAACAAGTAGAAGTCATTTTTACCGAAGTGAGTTGACTGAGAATAATTTAAATGAGAGTATTATACTCGTCAATTGATATGCTTGAAACTATTACGAGTTCACCTTAGTCGGTTATTCGAGAGCGAAGACAAATGATCCAGTGACACGATCGGCTACTCTACTCCGAGAGTCCCAAGCTCTCACTAACGGTATCAAGAAGTCTTGATATGGCCTAGAAAGTGTATTCTATAAGCGCCCAGAAAATCGAGGTTCTCAAGCACGCAAATCGAGTTCATTTATACATTGTAGAAACGTCCTTCGGAAAGCGACAAAAGTAGACTACCAAAATCATGCATCAACCTATGACAGTCAAGGATTTTCCTGATAGGAAATGTAATCTCAAGGCCAACTGGTCAGCCCATGCGCAAATACACAAAAATCCAAAATTAGGATCTTACCAAGTGAGTTCTGGGGATCTAAAGTTCTCAACGAAGAGGAACTATTATTATAAACAGTAAGGAAGTAAAGCTTTACATTCCGAAAAAGAATATCTCACTGAATTAAAAAAAAATTTAGTTGCACTCAAACTCAACAAGCTAACAGTTATTCTAATCATAAGATCGATATAAGGTTATCATGTTCAACCGATGTACAAACTTTTTCTATACTTTCATAAGTGCAGATTAACTGATTTGATTATAATTATTATGATTATCTTGTCCATTCAAATAGTTTATTCAACACTTGCTTCATTTCAATATCTCCTTTGTTATTCTCATAGTATCACACATTACGTAATTGTTGAATGAACTTTCGGTGTATTTGTTAACTGAATGATCATTTCTCTCTCTTCACATTTATTCTAGTCTTTGTCATTGTAATTTTGAGTTGATTAACTATTAGAATCAAGTATTCACTACATTACTAGTTATTTGAATATTTACAAATCCCAGATAATAAATATTACTTATCTACTTACCCCGATGACCACCGAACAGCATTCCTCAATTTACTCTGTCCTGAGCCTTCTTTCCCCGTTCCATACAATCGCTAATCATTCTTCTTTTGTCTGTCTCCAATACTCAGTGTAATGTGTGTTTTGGTTTTCCTCTTTTCCTTTGGTATTGAGGGTTACAAGTGAGGGCTTGCCTACTGACGCTGTTCAGTGCTTTCCTCAACATTTGTCCTCTCCAGTTCCGGCACTTCTTCCACTGGAATCTGGTTTGTTCTCTTCCACAGTAGAATGTTGCTGATGGTGTCTAGCCAGCGAATCTGAAGCATCTTATGTAGACAACCATTAATAAATACCTTTATCTTGAGGATGATGGGTTTCATGGTTCTCCAAGTTTCCGCTCCATACAGTAGAACTGTCTTGATATTTGTATTGAAAGTTTTGACTTTGGTGTTGGTTGATAGAGAATTGTTTTTAGTTCCAACTGTTGTTCAGTTGTAGGGATTCTGCCCTTGATTTTCCTTCTTGACGTTTTCCTTCGTATAAGATAAGATTAAATATAGTAACCAATAGTTTTAACTAACTATGTCCTGAATCGCTTTAAAATTTCAAGTATCTTTAATTGATCATTAATCTAAACATAAAACTTTAGCAGAGAAGGATGGTGGCTGGCAGTAAAATCTAGGAAATCTAGGTTAATTTCATCCTAACGTGATTCGTCAGTTGGATAAACTTGCATCTCAAAGTTGATATTCACTCCGTACCTGGAACCTAGTAGTGTTTACTTCAAATGCCACCATGTTATCCACTGAGCTGCTGCGATTAGACAGCCATTGAGTTTTAATATGGAGTGAAGATGAATTCCTTAGTGGTTTGAATCTTCCCACTGTCTTTAAATACTGCAAATGATTAGTCTCTTTGGCGCAGCCAGCGGAGGAAGAAGTCAGGAACAGTCACTGTAAGGGGATAGGCCAGACATTGAAGAAATCATCTAACTGCGTCACAACAGAAGCCATCACTTGAAATCCTCAAGGCAAAAAGAACACATTACGCCGAGAAATCGAGGCCGATATAAGAAGAATGATCAACAGTCGGACAGAACTGGGAAAGTAGGCTCAAAATAGAGTAGGTTGAATAATGCTGGTCAGTGGCCTATTCTCCATCCGGAATAACAGGCCTAAGTAAGTAGGTAATTTTGGCGCATCCACAAGTTGCCACTATCCACCTCTGCTAATTAATACCTGTAACCTAAAGACAATATGGAGGCAATCCGCACATAACAATAACAAAACGACTGACTAATTACAGCGATGATTCAGACAACTGATAAAATTAATTAAAACTTCAGACTACATTTTACTGTAATGCACATACATATCACGTGATAGGTAATTCAGTTATTTAATTATATATATTGGTAACATTTTTTTTCTCTGGGTTGAAAAATCACGAATAAACGTTAACAGTATGCAAAAGAAATTCAAGTCTCCTAAACTGGATTCAAATCCTGAGGAAATTAATTTCAGAACTCTTTGAAAAATGGACTTAAAATTCACATTCTGTCAACATTAATGTTATTGTTAACCACATTACTAGCGATGTCTAAAAAACACACATTGATTTCCGATTCATTTTTCTAAAACAAAAAGAATGCACTAAATCTCCATATAGATGAACTGTATAAAGTCTAGAATTTTCATAGTCCAAATCTTTCGATAACCAAAACACATCAAACCGTTGTTTCATCCTAGTGTGAAACTTCTTGGCAATGGTCATCCATGACCTTATCGTCTATTGAGCCGTAAAGATTTCCGCTCACATGCGTAAACGTTCGACTTTAATAGTGTTTATGTCTAAATTTCATTTACACCCGTAATTGTATCTTCAAGCTGGTTACCAGTACGTAGTATATTGATGATTCAGACTAAACTTGTGCTTAGAATTGACAACACTGCAGAAATCAATTTCCAATCGTTCTAGCAGAAAGGTGTAGGCTGTAAAGTTGAGTAATTCGTAAATTCATTTCTTACTTACTATAAGCTCTGATAAAAGTACTATTGTAAATATTCAATGTAATTTCCAGTTTCTTTTTTCCATCCTCTATCGAATTTTTACATTCACATAGCTTACATGATCTGAATTCATAGACAAACAAAAAAGGAGTTATGGCTACTTTTTTCTTGTTGTTATTGTTGATAAAATACCGTGTCTAGACAGATAACAGCATGTCATACATTTGAGACAATGAGATAAACTTTTGTCATACAAATAAATTATTATTAATTTTTAATTTAGTCTAGAAAAAGTTTCAAGTGAAATGATAAATTTCATCAGTTCATTGTTTAAAAAAAAGGATTTTTTTTTCCTTAAACTGTTGTATTATTTTATAAGCCAACAATCTTGAATTTAGTTCATCATGTAGCCTATAGTTCTAACGTCCTAATTATTAGCATGAATACGGTAAAAGTTGAAAGTTCTTTGTTTGATCCTGTGTCATTTACCATAGTTAAAAGTTTCACATTAAATTAAAAAAGGGATTCAGTGTTTCTGTTAATTTGCTCATGTTAGATTCCATTGAAAATCAGTTTTGAATTGCAGGGCAATTCATAGAATGTGTTAAATTATACTTAAGTGTCTTATGTTTACAAGTACAGTGGTTCATATATCGCTTCCAGGTCCAATGGTCCAGAAGACCAAATGTCCTGAGTTCGATTGCTGTGAGAAGTGCGAGTCGTAGATGTGTATTGCTGATGAGTCCCATACCAGGCAGAAACGACCGTCTTTCACTACTTCCAGGTTTTTAATGATAGTCTGATATTTATTGATTCTTTATTCAGAATAATGATACTGTTATATCAAGACCATTTAAATTCAGTTTTTACCATTTAGTAAATGACATGAAGCCTGATATTACTCTGATATTAATCTGTGTGATGAAGTTTCAAAATGAATATTAGATATATCTTATAACATTTACTAACTACCTCGAATGATAGGATCTAAGTTTTCGACCAATTGTCCTCGTGATAATGTTATTACATCAAAAATCTATTTAGAATCGAAAACTGACATGTTGAACTCATTGATGCTATCAATAAGTGTTTCCTCTTGAGTATGCTATGTTACAGAGAAGAAAATGACATTTCCGTTTTGTTTAATTAATTCTGTTAAATTGTCGATGCACTGAACATAGCTGCATGAAGAGAACTGAAAACAAACTGTAAATAACTTATTCCAGTTAAAAAAAAAACAATTTTTTTTATAGATTGATTCAATCATTTATAATTTGTACTAATTACATTTTAATTTTATTCGAGGTATGAATGAAAATAGAGTGGAAACTGGAAAGCTGCTTTATTCTAATAATGATACTCAGAAGCAATGTACACGCACAAATTTGGCTCAAACTAAACTCACTACCTTGAATTCTCACAGCGAACAAGGCTTCAATAAAAACTAATACGGGTTGCAATAAATAAAGAAGTACTTAGCTAATCTTTTAATTCAGATTTCATTGAGTAAGATCTGAATTTTGGTGATTCAGTGTTTAGTGAATAAATCCTACTTGATCATTTATAGACAGTAACTATCCAAGACAGTGTATGAGGTTGCGTAAGACTGAACTGATCGGTGTTAGACATGAACACAGTTAGATGCCGGCCTAGTGGTCCAGAGGTTGGGCGTTTCCGCTCAGGACCGAAGGTCGAGGGGTTCGAATCCTGCGGGGTGCAGGAGTCGTGAATGCGCACCGCTGATGAGTCTCGTACCACGATGAAATGGCCATCCACTGCTTCTAGGTTTCTAATGGTGGTCTAACATTGATCGACTCATGATTTCAAACATTTATAAATTACCTAGTATAGTAAATTATGTAATTTGATCTCAGATATCTAAGAATTAGTCCAGTTGTCTTTACAAAAAATTCCTTGGATGAATTTTAAAGCTTATCAGTATTTAACAATAATGATGTTACTTGCTTATAATTTTATATGTTGTTTCATGAATAAAAATTCATAAAATGGGTGTCTATTGAAAACTTTTCTTAATTTCTTAAACATTTTTCTCCAATTGGATAAGAAATTGTTTTAAAATATTAGTGTACTGTTAGAAAAACTATATGACTTGCTTACTTAAGCCTGCTATCCTCAGTGGAGCTTAGGACATCAACCATAATTCTTCAGCCTACTATATCACAATCGCTGTTCATTCTTTTCATGCCTTTATTCGAATCACAGCGTGATGTTATTTCTAGTCTGTCTCTTTTCTTTTAATCTGAATGATTACAAGTGTGTTGTGACGCAGTGTGCTGTCTTCTTCAATGTGTGTCCTATTCACTTACAGCCCTTTTTCCTATTTTTTCCTCTGTTGAAATCTCATTTGTTCTCTCTCATAGCAGGTTGTTGCTGATGGTGTCTGGCCAACACATCTGAAGCATTGTGTGTAGAAGACTGTTCATTCATATTTAAAATCATCAATCAATCATTGTTAGACCACTATTAGAAACCTGGAAGCACTGAAAGACGGCCGTTTCGTCCTGGTATGGGACTCATCAGAAGTTTGCATCCACGACTCCTGCACCTCGCAGGATTCGAACCCAGGACCTTTGGTACTGCGCGCGAACACATAACCATCGGACCACTGGGCGTTCGCGCTCAATACCGTAGGTCCTGGGTTCGAATCCTGCGAGGTGCAGGAGTCGTGGATGCGCACTGCTGATGAGTCCCATACCAGGACGAAACGGCCGTCTTTCAGTGCTTCCAGGTTTCTAATAGTGGTCTAACAATGATTGATTGATGATTTCAAATGTGTAAAAACACAAATCTCCAAAGCTCTAACTGAAAATATTCATATCTTGTGGATGATGGCTTTCATAGTCCTCCAGATTTCCATTACATACAATAGAATAGTCTCGAGATTTGTATTGGTTTTTGTTGATAGTTGTTTTGAGTTCAAGATGTCTGTCAATAATTACTTCAAGGAAAAATACACAAACATCTTAAACTGAATGATGAGCGTTTTAATAATTTCAGTTAAATTTGATCATCTGTTAATATTTTTTCAAATCAAACATTTTTTACTTAAAGATAATTTCTTATTCCATCTAAATTTTCACAGAACTATCAACCAGCGAATCAAGCTGTACCAAGTAAAGTTGTGATCAATCCAAATAAGGTATCGAATAATCAAACTTATCGTTGTGATAATAATGTTCGATTTGAACAATCTCAACAGATCGATTCAAAATATCAGCCGATGTGGATCAAAGCACCTATACCACAATTAAATTTTCCACGACAACGATCCAATTCAGGGTAAGTATTCACACACAATGATAAGTAAATTTAACTTATTTAAATATAAATTGATTGGTTATATGAATTAACTGTTAATGAAATTGTTTGAAAATCAGGTAGAATTAATCTCTCAACTATTGGTAATCAATGAAATAATAGGTGTCTTCGAAGTGTTGCTTGACTATCTTGGAACCACCGAGTAAGCAATGCTGATGTTAAGAAAAGGGTATTTGGTAAGGACGGCAGACTAGTTTACGATGTGTTAAGGTGGTTGGGACATGCGTTAGGTATTCCCATCCACCAACTGCCTCAACGAGTGACGTTCTAGGAGTTGGCTGGAAGGAAACTAGAGATGGTCAAACTAAAACATGACACAAATACATGAAGTCAGTGATAAGTGGACTGAGTAATGTTAATCAGTGTAGACTACCTAGTTAGGTACGGCGAGCCAATAGTAACCAATTATTAGAGACCTTGAATGACATGGTTCAAATTCGTTTGCAATGGCGCACGTATATCCAGTCTTTGTAAAATTCCTCATGACCTTTTTTATCTTTTCTTTGAATCTATTTGAAACGATTGTATTTCTTGAATAATATCGTCAAATCCTAGTCTTTTCCATTGCCAAAGCTATTTCTACTATCTCTACCACTATAAGATTTGAATTGACAATTGGATCCCCGTACCAATGTGATAAGGCAACTTGAACTAATGTAAGTACTTACGAAGTTCCACGTTGTAGCTGACTGACTGATTGACTGACTACTAAATGGAACTTCAGATCTTGAATTTATATGAACATCTTAATAAACAGAAATTATTTTGCTCGAAATAAAGAATAAATTACGTCGCATAGACTTCATAACTAAAGGTCAACAGTAAAAACGTTAAAAACAGTAGAAGTTTCAATGAAAGTTTATGGAAAGAAAAAGACGTCTCACAAAAACAAACTGTGGCAAAAATAATTTCGGTTTCATAACCAAACTATGACAGTTATGCTCTTTTCACTCATATTCATATTCATTAAAGTGATTACTGATGAATCCATTAATATTCAGTTTAATGTAAATTTTCCTTAAAAAAAAAACAAACCTTGACACCATGTTTTTTTGTTTACTTTCTTATTTCAATTGTCAATTTTAGCAGTAATGCTGTTGTTTTACAGCCTTCTTTTCAACAACAACAACAACTACAACTACAACAACTACAAAATTCCACAAATTTACCTCCACATTATAATTATGATTATTATCATCATTATGCATTGAATAATAACCCGGTCAATACAACACCATCAAACATTCAAACATCATTTCCGGTAAATCAGCCAAGTGTTCCATTTTCAAATATGAATTCATCTATCCATCGACATCAAACTCCAACAGTGAAATCATTTCGAAATTTTTTCACACCAAAATTAAGACGAAAAACATATGAATTGGATAAAACTGAAGCTGTTCAATTGAAACAAGACAATTATATACCAACAAATGTGATACAAAATAATCCAGGTATGATTTTGACTGATGTTAGGGGTTCTTTTGGGATTAGGTGGTTAACCTAACGCCCGACCCTCCTTCTTTATTCGGGTATCCCCAAAGATGCTGCAGGCTTGCTGTTTTTGTTTGAGTTACGCAACTTAGTTGTGTAGTATGTGACCATGAAATGGATTTTAGTAGGAGAAAGAATATGTAATTATTAAATTAGCATGGTTATGCAATAGTTATCATGTTGACATACCTGTGATTCTGTTCAATGTTTTCAACATATAAGCAATGCATTATCAAGGACATTTTCAGTTGTTTTCAATCTATTTCAGTTCATATGACTAATTATGACATAATCATCACATCTGGTGAATAAGTTAGTCACAATCTGTATACTCAGCAGTTCGGTTAATAATTTTTTTTAACACTTAAAGCAAACGGTATACGGTTTATACCCTAATATGAATATGAATACTGATTGTCCAGAACATACAACTGACAAGTTCTTTTTTCGACGGCTAGCTACAATCCATCTAGACTAAACAGTGTTTCCGCTATAAGTAAATAATAAAACCAATATATGCTCGTTTATACTTGAGAATATTTTCGTATTTAGTAAATTCTTAATTATACCTAAACAGTTCATTAACTTGACAGCTAATCGTGAATTGTTTCATATGCTCATAAAATTGTTTATCCACAAATTTTATCATGATTTGAAAGCAATACCAATCGCATATTGATCTGAGCCACCGGGTTTATCTTCCATTTAGAGGTTTTGTACATACGAATCAATTTAGAAGCGCAATTATGTAAAATTAAAGCGTGAAATATCAAATATTGGTTCTTGTCCAATACGATCATTGTGATTCATTTATTAGAATTAGTTAAGATAAACAAAATATAACGGTTAATGATATAAACTCTTCTTTAAAAAAATCATTTTGAATTAATCAGTTAAATGATTAAGAATTTCACTGAAATTCATTAGGTACATCTGTTTTATTGAAATCATAAATCAATAATTGTTAGACTATCATTAGAAACCTGGAAGCTCTAGACCACCGTGTCGTCCACGACTCCCGCTCTTGGGAATCGAACACAATGTACCATTGGTATTTCTTATTGTCTGGTTTGTATGAGCTTGTACGATTGAGCATTGCTTACGCCTACGCGCTGACTCATCCTTCTCGCTTTAATGTTAATCTCTTAATAGCCCTATGAACTCACATGACTTGTCTCGGTTGCTTTTGACCTTGTCAGTCATTCATCGCTTTTGTTCATGTCTGTGCAGGCCTATTTCGCTTCTCATATGTCTGTCTTATTTTTGTCTGACTATATATTCTTAGTCATACTCTATTTCTTGGAGTTGGCTCTTAGCCTTCTCCAATGCGCTTCGCCCATTCGTTCGCATTGTAATCCTAGGAGTCGACTCAAAAGCCTTCTCCAGTTCACGTCGCTTCATTCGTTTTATTCACTGCTTCTCCGCTTCGCTCTGTGGTGTGTCCCGAATAAACGTATTCATCACTACGAATTCATTTTCTGATTTATAAACCTTCAGACGCTATTTGGCAACGATTGTCTGAACGAGTTAATTACCGAGCTTAAGAACACACAGTAAATCGTCACACCACAACAAGTGCTTTTATCTCGACATCAAGCTCCCAACCGCTAGACCACTAATTCGACCAGCATCTAACGGTATTAATAATGTGGATGCGAATTACTAAAGAGTTCCATACTCTAACAAAACGGCCATTTTGTTTAAAACATAAATTTCAATGATTTGTTTAAAATTATCATTGAAATACAAACATTCAAATTTCCAGAAATGATAAGTTATGTATGTAAATGAAATCAACTAACGTAATTCTAATCAATTTTCTTTCACCTTCTTTCTTTTCTATTTAAACAAACTTGATTGAATAATATTTATAAGTTGAAAAAAAAAATATCACATTTTGTCAAAATGATAGGCATGATTCTATCACTTTAATGATATGAACCTATTTTCCTCATTATATATATTTATATATATATATATATAAACATATGTACAAAGAAGCAAACGGTACTATTGATCTAGAAAGCGTTTCCGAGTGCTTCACACACACACACACACACACACTTAACATCAAGTAATGTTTATATATAATTTGCCTGTAGGGTGTAAGTGGTGTGCATCAGCTAGTGACTGTATTTAGTAAATAAATACATTATGACAGTAATTTGCCCCCAAAAAACCAGCAAAGAAAATGAAATGTTCCATACTTTCTCTAAATGAATCGTTTAGTTCAGAAAAAAAATAATAATCAGTATATATTTATATATACAGTTTGTTTATAAATCCTAACAGTACACTCACTATACAACCTACTAATCACAGTATCAATTTTTTTCATTATTTCGAATCAATCTTCACTACTTTAAGATTTAAAAAAAAATCAATGAAACACAAAGTACTTTCATATTTCATTTTTGATGAATATTATTGATGAGGGAAAATAGACGGATACCTTTGAGATTTTGTAAACAGAAAGTTCATGTGCATCTTTTGATTATTCGTTGTTTTAAATAATATAAACTACACATAACTGTTATGTAACCATGAAATCTCGCCCCCCTCAATTGAAAAACTGTTTTATCTCTTATAAGAACTTCTTTCATTTGACAAAGAAAATACCCAGCTAACGTATACTTACTTACTTACTTACTTACTTACGCCTGTTAACCCCAATGGAGCATAGGCCGCCCACCAATTTTCTCCAACCAACTCTGTCCTGGGCTTCCCTCTCCAGTTCTGTCCAATGTTTTTTTCATTCCTCTCATATCTTTCTCTATTTCTCGGCGTAATGTGTTCCTTGGCCTTCCTCTTTTCCTTTTGCCTTGAGGGTTCCATGTGATGGCTTGTCTGGTGACGCAACTAGGTGCTTTTCCTAGTGTGTGTCCTATCCACTTCCACCGCTTCTTCCTGATTTCCTTCTCCACTGGAATCTGGTTTGTTCTCTCCCACAGTACAGCTAACGTATACAGTCGATCAATATTAATAATCCTATATTGTTTTAAAATATGTCTTATAATTTCGCTCAATTATTAATTGGTCTATCAAACATTATGTATAAACATGTTTGAACAAGAGTATTTTTTTTCTTGAAAGTAGACTTTTATAATAAAAACGTGTTATCCCAACACAGTGGGGCATCTTTACAGATCGACTTAAGTAAGACACTATGACTTATAATGTCTACAGATATATATATATATATATATATATATATATATATATATATATATATAAATCTCACCTACTGTGCAAATCAAAATATATTGTAATCATTGAACTATGGCATATTTAACAGATTTCATAGTTTTAAATGGGCAATAGTGCGGATTTTTAAAAAAATAACATAGAAATAAGATCAACAAAGATAAATTCGGAGTAATTTAACTCTGACAAATTTGATTTTTTTTCTAAAACAGATTAAATGCCATATTGCATAACTGTTGGCTATAAGCATAAATGTTAGGAAGAAAGAACTCATCTTTATAAAACAGCAAAATTCATTATTTTTATATAGAGCGTTATGGTGACTGTTTATTATTATTATTATTGTTGGGGATGTTAGATCCCCCAGAACTCGCTTGATAAATGCCTTATTTTGGATTTGACGTTTGCAAGTATGGGCTGATCAGCTGACTTTGAGATTTCGTTTTCCAACCAGGAAAATCCTTGTCTGTGACTCATTCCTGTGTATTTTAGTGTACTGACTTTGTAACTGTCCCAAGGACGTTTCTATGATGTATAAGTAAACGAGGGTTGTGTGCTTGATTGTATTGTGATTGCTGGTTGTTGTAGAATATACTTTCTACGCTTACCAAGACTTCTGTTTTACAGCTTGGGATTCAAGGTAGTCTACCTGGACGCTGGTAAAAGTCTCGTTCGCGTTTATCGACCAAGGTGAACTTATAATAGCTTCAAGCATACCTAGTGACAAACTTAACAATTATTGAAACTATGAGTCAATCATTGATAGACTACCATTAAAAACTTGCAAGCACGACCTGAGCTTCAAAGACTAGCGCCACTCAGGACTTTAGGTGTTGCAAGCGAATCATCAAACTCTGGAACACTGGGCTGGCATTCAACGATGCTAATCTCGAACTTCGATCAATCCACGATATCGCATGGGTTTCTAATGATGGGCTAACGGTGATCGATTTATGATTTCAATCTCCATAAATCTATAATTAATATCATACAATGGTTCACTAGTGATTAGCTTTGCGAAAATGCCTCTCCGAGTTCTAGTTAGGAGTCGCTTTCGCGCTCAAGACTGAAGGTCTTGAGTTCGATTTTTACGAGTAGCAGGAGTCGCGGATGTGCATTAATGATCAGTTCCATATCAGGACCAAATATCTTCTAGTGCTTCCATTTTTCTAGTGTTGATCTAACAAGGATCGATTCATGATTTCAGCAATAAAATTCACTTTTCATAAAATGTTGTTTAAACAGTTTAAATATATACTCAATGAAATATTGATTTTGTAAATGATTATAAAAAATATTTGAAGTGGGAAAGAAAATGAAATCTCACATAATTTAAATTTATTTGTGAGGCTAATTATTTTAATTTGTCAAATTATTGAACCCCTTGTACACCATACACATAGACCAGAGATGGTAGTCTGATAGGAAATACTTCAAATTCGTCGTATCTAACACACCGGCTATAAAGTTATAACCTTTTAATTACACAACATCTACACTTATACAAACTAAACAAAACTAACGATTCACATTTGTTTTTGATTACAGACTACTTACTAAAAAATGACGCATTATTTTTCATGTTTGACATTTAAAAAGTTTTCTTAATCATTGTTTTTGAAGATACATGAAATTAGCCAACATCAGTAAGATATATCATAAATGAAGTATGGATCCAGTGACCTTTAAAATAAATTTCCAATCTTCGGCCACCATTCACAATCAAAGTTTGAATCAGTGATGATTACACAAGAAAAAATCGAATTTTTATAGACTATGCAACTCCCTCATATAATATATAACTGACTTAATTCATAAATCAGAAAAATTGATGTAATAACGATATTAATAATAATAATGTTAATGATAATAAGTATGACTAATATTGACTTGACATTTGTCAACTTGGTTGTAGATCAGTTACACGCTACAGCCTACACTTTAATTTCAATGTTTTATTTTCTTTCATTGTCCAAACTTAAGAGCTATTTTCTAAAAATGATAAATTACATAAAAGTCACATTTCAGTTGATGAAAAAATCTCTTACGGTTATGTGTATGACAAGAGCATTTGTTACTTAAATCAAATTTAAAAATATATACATGAAATTTATCAAATAAAGAACTTTATATGTTCAATTTATCAAAAATAAATATTTTTTTCTTTTATTAAGTAATCATCAGATGTGACTTTCTACACTGTAATCTGGGTGGTGACGTTGACAATGGAACCTACTACACGCTATATCATACATTAGAGTTAAACGCTTACACTGCTGGATGCCGGTCGGTTTAATGGTCTAGAGTTTAAGCTTTCGCGCATAAGTCTGAAGGTCCTAGGTTCGATTTATGCGAGTAGCAGGAGTCGTGGATGCTCACTACTGATGAGTCTCATACTCAGACGAAACAGCCGTCCAGTGGTTCCAGTTTCTTAATAGCGGTCCAACAATGATGATCCATTCATGGTTTGAAGATAATGCATGAAATAGTTAACGACTAAGTATACGAATCATGATATTTATCGACTTGTCGAAAAGATCATAATTTTTAACAACTTAATTATAACATTGAAGGATTCAGTTAAAAATTGATTAAATTCAAATTTTATGACTAAAAATGAGGAAATTCAAACTCTTTGAAATAACAAAACGATTTCAAGCTGGGCTTCTTTATAAAGTTTGTATGTTTATTTACAACGATCACTGACAACTTATCATCGATATTAAAATATACGTAAGTGTGAAGAAGGGAAATGATTCGACATTTTGTTTTCGTCGGTTCACATACATTTTCGACTTGATAGTGGTGATCCGTTTTAATAACTTCGAAGTAATATCAGGAACTGAAGTTAATTTGTCTGAAAAAACTCCGGTGTTGGCCAGCTGTTATATGGTGGTTTAAGACTAGTCAGTAGGTCGCATACTACATACCATAGCTTGTTGAATATACACTACTTTTTCAAAGATATTTATCATCTTGTCATGGTTGTTTATCAATAACCCCAATAATTCAAGTCATATTCATTTTATATTATCTCTAATGTCATCTGGTGATTTCCATATTTCGTATTCAGTTAAAGGAAGTCATTATCTTCACCAACATTTTTCCTCAAATGTTTAAGTAAAGAATTCTAGATGACTAGCTGACATGAAATAGATTGAAAAAAAGATGACTGAAATCATTCATATCGAAAAGAACCACTGCTCAATTAATAACTACACCTGTTGCTATCAGAAGAGCATAGGCCGCTGACCAGCATTCTCCAACCTACTATGTCTTGAGCTTTCTTTCCCAGTTCTATCCAATTGTTTATTCTTCTCATGTCTGTCTTCAATACTCAGTCTAATGTATTCTTCAGTCTTTATATTTCCTTTTGCTTTTGAGGATTCCAAGTGAGGGCATATCATATAATTCAGTAGGGTGTTTTCCTAAGTGTGTGGTCCATACACTTCCAGCTCTTCTTCGGTAGAATCTGGTTAGTTCTCTCTCAGAGGAGATTGGTAATAATGGTATCTGGCCAAAGGATTCTCAGTATCTTGAGTAGACAACTGTTAATAAATACTTTTATTTTACGGATGATGGCCTTCGTGGTTCTCCAAGTTTCCATTGTTTACTGTAGAACTGTCTTGATATTTGAATTGAAAATTGTGACTATGACATTGGTCGATAGTTGTTTTATGTTCCAGACATTTTCGAATTGAAGAAATGCTGTCATTACTTTTCCGATCCATGCCTTCACATCTTCATCCATGTTTTCCATCAATAAGGTCATTCAGATATGTCAAATGTTTTTAGATCCTCCAGAACTTCTGCATATTGAAAACAAGTTGATAAAAAAAGCTCAGAAAGAAACGCGAATTCCAGTGATTAGCTTTAAAATGTATAGAAATATCAAATATCAGGTTAAGCAGATCATAATAATGTACTACTCTAAAAGTTTATTATACTGTGGTGCTGTGGTGCGAACTACTTATAAGTAGTATATAACGTGAGTGTCAACGTAAAGTCTGGTAGCATAATATGGGGGGAAGATCAAGAAAGGAAGAGTTAGAAAACAATGGAATTTGTATGAAACGCATGAATAGTGACAATGGATTGATGTTTGGCAACAGGAACAGTCCAGTTCCATAGGATGAACTGATCTTTTACAAATGAACAATTTACGATATGGTTTTCCAATTTTACTGAGTAACTCTGTAATTTTCGTAAAATACAATTCGGTTGCCCCCACGTGTGTTCTCATTCACTACAATACTACTACTAATAATAATAATACCATTTTAGATAATTTCCATTTAATTTCTTCATACACTCATCATCATTTAGTTGGACAACATGGAAGAAATAATCATACAAAATCAATGAATGAAAGAAATAACCAGCTCAGAAAAGTTGTCCCATCTTCATCGTACACTGATGCGCTTAATTTGGCTGTTGCTGCAAATACCGCATTATATGAAGCATTTAATCAATCGATAGGTAAGATTTTATTGTGCTATGTTAATTCTAATTCAATATTTGTCATGCCATTTCATTCAAACTTATCTGAAACTTAGAGAATGATTAAGAAGCTCAGTTATACCTGAGATAAATCTCCTCTTCATTTTCCGTATATCCTACTTAGGTGAACCCCAATACTGCGATGATGGAAATAAGGAGCTAAATACAGTTGTATGGATGATTTTATGTCATGCAATCATTTACGCAGACAAGTGTACAAGCAAAGTAAAGTGAAGTAGAGCGGAAAAGGAGAATGGGCCAACACAATGCGATGAGTGTTTATAATTAGACAAAAATTAACCAGACACGTAATCATTGAAGTAAACGTGCACATATGCACTCAAATAAAGGCAACCAAGATTACAAACGAATAACTGATGAGGTCGACAGATATGTGTGTGATTACTCTAGGTGGAATACATTGATTAACTTACTCAAAGGCTAGAACAAACCCTGTGGACTCAACATATTAGTACACAACACTGCATGCTCATATGTTATGTTTATATTTAAAAATTGTTTAACTCTCATCTCTCGTTAATGTAAACACAGAATAACTTTGCTACAATCTGTAAGCGAAATACGTATTTGAGTTATGTGATTCATAGTGTTGATGTGGCATAACAAAAGAATATTAGATTGAATATAATCTAATTGTGAACTTTTCACCACAATATATTCATTACTTTATATACTTATTGGGGATGTTAGATCCCCAAAATTCGCTTGGTTAATGCCTTATTTCGGTTTTCACATTTGCCAGCATGGACTGATCAGTGGACCTTGAGATTTCATTTCCCACCAGGAAAATCCATGGCTGTGATTGGCTGCTGTGTATTTTAATGTGCTATTTTCTTAAGTGTCCCAAGGACGTTTCTATGATGTATAAATAAATGAGAGTTGTATGCTTGATTGTATTGTGCTTGCTGGGAGTTTGTAGAATATACTTTCTACGCTTACAAAGTCTTCTTACCTTACTTGGGGATTCAAGGTAGTCTACCTGGACGCTGGTAATTGTCCCGTTCACGTTTATCGACCAAGTGACGAACCTAATAATACTTTAAACACATTTAATCTCATTCAATTATTTGTAAATACAATCAGTAACACATTTATTTTTGATGCATGTACCGAAAACAAAAACAAAAAACGAAAGCAAATTTTCATTTGTGTATTTTTTTTAAATTAATATTTTTTTTTAAAACATATTTAATTCAACAAAATTCATTTAAAATGTTCTGATTGAATTTTTTTCTAATGATTTTTTTTCGCTCAAGCTTCAACAGATTCATATCAGAAAACTAATGCAATTCATCACAACACCCCGATATCTTTGTAAGTTTGTAAAATATACATTTAAATAAAAATCAATTTTAAATGTGTATATTTATAATCATTATTCAATCATTGTTAGACCACCATTTGAAACCTGGAAGCACTGGACGGCCGTTTCGTCCTGGTAGGGGACTCATCAGCAGTGCGCATCCACGACCCCTACACCTCGCAGGATTCGAACCCGGGACCTCCGGTATTGTGCGCGAACGCCTAACCATCGGACCACTGGGCCGGCATCCAACGGTGTCAATGTCCAACTCTGATTGATCTAAGGATTTCGCGCCACCTCACACATTTGTCTTTGGTAGTTACTGCCTACACCTGACATGGTTGAACTCCATTGGTCACGTCTTCTCAACTAGAGCTCCGAGTATTTCCTCACGAAGCTAGTCACTAGTGAGCACTGTTACGATATTTATAAATATTTATAAATATTAACAAACACATGTTATTTGTGTTGGCGTTTTTTTAAAAAAAAATTGGTACAATCTTTGCTTATTTATTCAACTTTTATTCTATTTGACAAGTTGTCTCTGAATTAGATGTAGAAACATCGTTATTAAATGAAGCTGGGTGGAGTATATTGCAAAAGAAAATAAAACTAGATGCATTTGATTGACAATGAAGATTTAATAAGGATACAACACAGATAATAAGCGATCAAAATATTGTTGTTTTCAATTAGATCATTGTCATTATCAGGCTTTATACTCTCGAATATACATGAATATTTTTATTGGTAACGCTAGATTCCCAGAACTCACTTGATATAGGTCCTAATCTTGGATTATATGCAATCGCATATGGGCTGATTAGTTGACCCTGAGATAACGTTTCTCGGCCGGAAAATCCTTGACTGTCATTGGTTGGTGTGTTATTTTTTGTACCCTATTTCTGTGGCTCTCCAAAGGACCTTTCTGTTATATGTAAGTAAACTCGATTAGTATGCTTGAAAACCTCATATTTTGTCGGTGTTTGCAGAATACACTTTCTACGTCTTGTCAAGACTTTATCCTTTACTTAGTGGGGCTTTGGGAGGTTCGGAGTTGAGTAGCCGATCGTGTCACTCACTGGATTATTTGTCTTCGCTCTCGTTTACCGACGAAGGCGAACATATATTAGTTTCAAGTATATTCAATGACGAGCATAACAATTTTTTAACCAGTCAAGGCAATTTGAGTGAATAAACACAACGAAATAGATTACGTCACTACACATAATAGGTGGAAAAGTACAAGTTGATAGTAGGAAGATAGGTGTACTGATAGTAGTAGTAAGAATAATAAAATACGATAACAAAAGTTTTTTATCAATAGTTCAACATTGGAAATAGTGTATTAGACGTGGATAAATTAACTTAAAATAATTCTTAACAAAACATAAAAAAACCATTACGTAATAAGCTGTGTGTCAATAATTAGGTAGTAAAGAATATAAACAGAAAGAGGCAGAAAATTAACAGGTAAATAATGTTGACGATAAAAAAAATAAATCAATAAATTTAAAATCGTTTAATTAGTTATATCCAACCAAGGAAGGGATAGGGATGTCACGAATTTCCTCTGAACAAATAAAATGGGTTTGAATGTTCAGATTCTTATGACTTCTGCTATATGCAGTAGACGGGACCGAACCTCGTTGGGAAATGATGAAGGTATATGATAAATCACTCGTAATGATTCATATTTATCTGTATTATGACCGCAATCGATTAGGTGGGCCAAAAAAGAGCTGTGTATTGTTTTTGTCTGGCCCTTTCTAAACCATGCTGAAAGATGTACACTCATTCGTCGGTTAAGTTGTCTGGTAGTACGCCCGTTTAACTATCTCTACAGGTGATGGTGTTTCGTTCTCTGGGCTCAGAGGAACACCACCATAATCATTCATCTGAGCTACAAATTTCCTTCACCATCCATCGCTACAGGAGCAGTTGAATTTTTAAATACACATAGAGGAGGACAACACAGGTAACTGATCCCTCGTTTAAGTAGACATCACTGGTCTACATAAAGAAATTCCATGGAAGATTGACTGCGTAGAATGTCCCACTTATTACTTTCGCTTATCTAACATGCAGGATATTGCTAACCAAATCCCTGTTAAAATATAGTTATCGAATAAAGGTTTCTTTCGAACAGTTGAAGTCTCAGACTTCTTTCAGTCAGTATACGTGTACTTCTTTAAGAACGCCCTGGGGTAGCCGATCTCGGTCAGTAATTTGTTGATAAATTACAGCTCCTGATCTAAAGTATCCACTGAACAGATCATTTTTGTTCTTCCTGTGAGATATTTAACAAATTTCTTTTGTAACAGATAGGTGTACAACTATAAAAGTGTGTATATTGGCATGCAGAGGGACTTTCTCTGTACATGCTTCTACTTAACGAGTCATCACTTCTCCTGCTCAGTGTTCCATCAAGACAATTCAGTTTTTCGTCACACTTGTCGACACCTGTGAAAGTGATTGCCTGATGTACACTGTTGAATTGTTCTATGAGTTTTTCTTTCTTGATGTATTAATCTACAGTAAAGAATGAGTAAAGCCTGATGTTGATCTAAGTGAAAACAATATTGTTCGCTCACATGTGTTGTTCTAATTTTCACAATGAGAATCTTTAATAGATACATTTTAATCATAAAATTTTTAATGGAACACTTGATGATAGTAAAGCTTTTGTTATTTTTTCTTGACATGAAGGGAACTTATAAACAGAGAATTGATTTCCTACAAAATGATACAAAAATCAACTTATTTACATATCGTTATTGATAATAATCAGACATAATCTAATTGTTTTTTCAGTGTTCTGTATTTCGAACTGATTAGTTGTATTAAATATATTTAAGTAATGGAAATTCCCTCTTCATCTTTACTCTTGGTCAGTTAGTACTGCTGAATCCAAACTAAATATCCAATATACACAGAGATCGTGTATCAGTCATTCTTGGATCAATGGTAGAAAACTTGAAGCACTGGACGGCTGTTTCGTTCTGGTATGGGACTCATCAGCAGTGTGCATCCGCGACGGCTGCCACTGATAGGACTCGAAGCTAGGACCTTCAGTCATGAGCTCGACTGCCTAACCTCAGGACCAGTGAGATGGCATGAAAGATTTTAATGTCTAACTTCGATCGATCTATGTTATTACTCAACCTCACCCACTGTCGTCGACAGTTACTGCGTATAGTCAACTGGGTTGAACTCTGCTTATCACAGCTTCTCACTATACAATGTATACATTGTATCACCTCTAGACTGTTGAGTTGGCATCCAACAGTGTTAACATCTAACTTTAATCAATCCACTACTTAGATGGATACTTAGTTTCAGTTAATTTTAGCAATCCCCACAACCCCTTGCTGATCATTTTCATTTGTGTACCAATGACCATCTTCGAGAGGGAATTTCCACAGTTTCACTGGGAAACCGTGAATAATGGAACTAAATTGAATCGCGTTTGAGGTTATGAATGAGTACTATTGAGGAGTCCCATGTTAGAACTAAACGACATTTTCTTGTGATGCTGACTTGAATGAGTGTATTTGGCAAACAAAACTATTAGATCGATAAGTAGAACGAATTTTCACAACATAGTATGAAAAAAATAATGTAACTATAAATCAGATTCAATGAATTTTTATCATTTGAGGTGATTGGGATGTGTGTTACGAATGCCCAACCACAGACTGTCTTGACGAGCTATGTTTTGCACCGTAGGAATAGGTTGGAAGGAACCTGCGGCCGGCCAAACCAAAACATGGCATAGATCCATGAAGTCACTGACAACTGGACTGGGTCATATTGGTAGGTGTCGACTACCTGGTTAAGGCCCGCGAGATGATAATAATCGATGGTTAGAGACTCTGAATGACATTGCTCAAAATCGTATGCAATCACTCAGGTGCATCCACTCTCTCAAATTCTAATCTTCCACATGCTTCGTGACCGTTTCTTCTATTTCTAAATTTATTTCACTATGTTTTACTTCTTGAACCATATCTTCGAACCCTAATCCTTCCAAATACTCCACATACTCCCACTACATCGACAACTGTGTATCTGTGCTAATGCGGTACGTACACACAAAGTTCTACGTTGTAGCTGACTGACTATCTGTCTAACTGGGAAATCAGATTAGTTATTTGCCTCAAGTTTATGTATTATAGAATAAGAATAAAGTAAAAATAATAGAATGGTGGGCAGAGTGCTAAACAATTTTATAATCCTAATAGTAATAGAGATAATAATTACAAAAAAAACAGTGATTTGTAAATAGTAACAACAACACTAAAATTTCTATCGATAATTTTGAGCCATGAAAATATGAAAGGTGAAGACGGTTTGTCTTAATCTAGTCCTTCTGTGGCTACTGCCATTCCCGAGCCCAGGTAAAGGAAGAGGGTTTGGCATGAAGTCAACGACTCCATCCTGTAGGAAGTTGACTGACTAACAAAAGTTATTGTGAGCCTATTCTCCATTTGAGGGTAACAAGCGTAAATAAACAGTAATCAAAAATAGAGAAAATTTGCAAAAAGGCGAAAACCTTTAGGAAGTTTGACTAGGCTACCACGTTGAGCTCATCCACGGATAACGTAAACATACCCTTTTATTGAAGTTTCTCGTTAAATTAACGTATGACAATTGAAAACGATTTTATTGATCAGTTCGCGCAAAAACAATACATAACCAAAATAAGCATCCTGTAATAAGACAAAATGGCCGAATATTAACATTCCCACGAAAAAAAAGACCAAATGAAAATCAGTCATTTTGGTCACTATTGATCAGGCACCAATCTATCTACCCATATATATACATATATACAGATATATATATACTGGCAAATCAAAGTGAAAATGATCCTTCTATCCCTCTATCTAAATGTCATTTTCGCAATGACAACAACACATAACCTCTGTTATTTGATTAAATAGTTAATATTTTTGTTCATTGTACAATATTCATCTTTTTATCTTTTATTTTTTTTCAAGTTTTTACTGCATATATGTATATATAACGTTTGTCGTTTCGATGTTTTTTTTTGCCGGACTAATATAAATTCAATTCATTCTTTTTATTTCTTAGAATTATTCTTTCAAAATATCATCATACTTCATTTTTTCTTATAGTGTATGAAATCTAGTAACAGGACAGTAGTTTGTTAGTTTAATTTAATTTAATTTAATTTAAACACATATTGATGGTCAATATTCAATTCAGTTTTAAACGAAACATATTTCAATGAATAATAATTGTTTAGATGAAGTCATAAAATTGATCGATCTTAATTAGATTACCACTGAAAACTTTGAAGAATTGAACGGTTGTTTCATCTTCTACATGCAGCTTTTCAGCAGTTCGTATCCACGGTCCAGCACGTGGTGGGAATCGAAACTAGGACTGTAGATCGAGCGCTGAAACGCTTAAGTTTGTGACCGCTGAGCCGCGATCTAACGGTGTTACTGTCGTGAATGCGCACTACGGAAGATTCCCATACTAGACCCTTTTGTTTAAAATAATATTTTATTATTATTACGACTAAGTTGCAATTTTATTGTATATATCTTATGTTTCATTTCATATTTCCTAAAAGTAAACAACAGAAATTCAAAGCTACTGCTGCACCAATCAATCCAAGCTCTTCAACAGTAAATAATAATGAACGACCTCTAGTTGAACTAGGTTCAGCACCAATTGAAACAGGACAAATACAAAATAAAATTGGACCTTGTCAATGGACTAAAATTATTAAACCACATAAAAATATTTCTCTTTCACCAATTTCATCCATTTCACACTGTAATACAGATGATAATTCACCAATGGAAAAACAAACAGATATCATAAACAAATGTCAAAACAATACAATAGAACAAACACTGTATTCAAATCATAAATCTAAAAGCCCTAAATTATTATTAAGTGACAAGTCTAATGATTTAATAGAGACGCCCATAGATAGTAGGCGTACACCTGGACGGCTTAGATCAAATCTTCGTCATGCTGTTACATTAAGTCCTTGTCGTCGTAAACCAGATCTAACATCAGAACAATGTAATAGTCCATATCTTCAACCAAGTCCATTAGCATTGAGTTCAGGATTTGTATCAGCTGGTTCGATTGTCAATGCAATTGAAGATTCCAATGAGAAAATGAATAAAGATGAATTCACTGAAAATTCAGGAAAAATGAAATCTGTTCCTCCACCAGTTGGTGTTCATGTGAGTTATTCCAAGACTCTAATACATTTTCTCATATATTTTAAAACTATTAAGGTAATGTGGTTTTTCAAAGTAAACATCTACTTTAGTATAATTTACTGAATTATATGTAAACTAAAGTCATTGATTTTTCATTGACTTTTTAAAATTGATAGATAGAACGTCAGGACTTTTGATGACATATTATCTAGTTTTGCAATAAACAATCAAAGCGAAACGGCTACCTAATTACTTTCTAGAAACACAAATATTCTTCTCTATAAAACATAATTTATTATGACCTTATTTAAACAACAAGTAATTGCTGTCATGTATGGGAATTTCATAACTAACGAAGGTAGAGATTAATTTCTATAGCTTTTTGAATCTTCTCGGTGATGTTCATGACAGTAATTATTCACTCTTTCTGGCGTAGATGCATCCTGCGCAGATTGCCCACATATTATCATTAAGTACAAGTATTATAAGAAAATATGGATGGTGGCAAGCATTACAATAAAAGATTCAAGTTTCACCCCATTCGGGATTCATCAACTGGATAAACCTGCATCTCGGAGTTGATATACACTCCAGGACTCGAATCAAGTACTGTAAGCTTCAAACGTCATCGCCTTATCCTTCTAGCTGCAGAGTCCAGACCATACAATTTCCCCTATATTTTTTAAAATTAGAGTTATGGAGATTAGTGTTTTAACGCATTGAAATCATTAGTCAGTTATCGTTAGACCACCATTAGACACCTGGAAACACTAAAATACGGCCGTTTCGTCCTGGTGTGAAACTCATTAGCACTGTGCTTCCACGACTCGTGCACCTGACAGGATCTGAACCCAGGACCTTCAGTCTTGCATGCGAACGACTAAACTCTGTATCACTGGGCTAGCATCCAACGGCTTTAATGCCTAACTCCGATCAATCTATGGATTTTGCATGATCTCACCTATTTGTCTTCATTAGTTACTACCTATACCCGACAGGATTGAATCCCACTGGTCACGTTTTTACATTGATTAAAGTGTATATTTATTCAAGGTAAGAGTCGACTGGTAAATGATTTTAAAAAGCGTCCACTAAATCTAACAGAAATTCGGGGTATAACTTGTGAAATCGATATGTCTTTGGAGTTATTGAATAAGTAATCTTTAAGCTAGGTTTTCTGCTCGTTGAGACATTCATTCATCGGGAAGCTGTATTTTATAGTCTTCATGACATTAGTGTTTTTCATAGGATTAAAACTAGCCTCAACTACCTGTTTATAAATAGTCTAACACATTCTACTATTCATTAGCAATAAAAGCAAATATTTTCAACATATTCGCATTTTCTTTTTTGAATTTACCTAACAAATTAGAAAATTGTCATCATTGATTGCATTTTGTTTAAATAATTTCCTTTTCAAAAATCAATAAAATCTATCCTGGACTACTTACGAATACATGCATATAAATGATGTATGGATTTGTAATTAATGTGTATGAATAGACATATTTATTCGAATTCATAGAATATATATATATGTGTGTTATTAATTTAAACAATGTTCAATTTGATTTATTTACAAATTGACAATCATTTTATTACTACAGACAAGGAAAATTCATGCAGTTGATCTAAAATATGGACATTATTTCAATTTAATTTTGAAAATAAATGTAAATACATTGAAATCCTATAAATGACAACTTTCATTTTTATAGACTACTATAGTCTGAGAAAATAAAACGCATGCTAGAAATAACAAATGAACAAAATAATATTACAAATAATTGGATGTATTCAAAATTAAATGAAATCATGAATCGATCAATGTTAAACCACCATTAGAAACCTGGAAGCACACTGAAAGACGGCCGTTTCGTCCTGGTATGGGATTTATCAGCGATGTGTAGCCACGACTCCTGAACCACGCACGATTCAAAACCATGACGAATGTTCTCCGAGTTCTAGTGAGGAATAGTGACCAGAGAAGTTCAACCTGTTCGTTTTCAGACGGTAACTACCAAAAGGCAGTGTATGAGGTTGCGTATGACCGTGAGTTGATCGGAGTTAGACATTAACACCGTTATTACCGGCTCAGTGGTCCAGAGGTGAGTCGTTCTCGCTCAATACCGAAGGTCCTGAGTTTGAATCCTGCGAGGTGCAGGGGTCATGGATTCGCACTGTTGATGAGTCCCATAACACGAAGAAACGGCCGCCTTTCAGTGCTTCCAGATTTCTACTCGTGGTTTTACATTGATCGATTCATAATTTCAATGAGTAACTTGACAATCCTCACAACCCCATAACGCATTCAAAATTGGAATGGTTAATTAATCAATGCGATTACTAATTGTTATTGTAACTCAGATAAAACAACCACGATCAACATTTAACATCAACTTCGCTGGAATGAACGATAGTCATAAAGAATTTAGAGTATTTAAATTGACAATATTGCATACATTTTTTGTTATAAAGTTAAGGAGATTGTTGTTTATGAATTAAATCATTAGTCAATCATTTTTAGATAAGCATTAGAATCCTAGAATCACTGGACAGACGTTTCATCCAGGTATGGAACTCATCAGCAGTGCGCATCCATGACCCCTGCACCTCACAGGTTCCAAACCCAGGACCTTCTGTTTTGCAGGAGTCGAGGATAAGCCTCTTACAAGGACGAGACGGCTGTTCACTGCTTCCAGGATTTTAACGGTGATCTTACGATGATTGATTCATGATTTCAGTAATATTAATTACGGTTTGAAAATATCAAACTTTTTTGAAGTTGGCATCCTTGTAAATAAATAAATCATTCGTCAATTTTCAAATGACTTTGTCTGTAATAAGTCAACACACGAGTCTGGAGCATGCATTAACTAATAAGGATATGAATTGATATCAAAATATAGACAATTAAAATGCCTTTTGAAATTTAGAAACAATGCAAATCACGAATTATAAGCTCATAGTTCTGTACAAGTTTGAAACTTATCGACAATGAGCAGTCATTATGACGATTTAGAGAAAAATATATTTGGATCAAATGTGGTCGCATAGACTATCCAACGTTTTTTTGTATCTTGATGACACTGGTGATATTTACTTTAGTTCATAATAGTGACTGTTGTAAAAAAGACTAGGCACTCGCAATCATTAATGTAAACCGATTTCAAAGCGAATAATGTTCACCAATTTCCGCTGCTAACCATCCTTTATTTCAACAAAATTTGTGTAAACTTGAATCACTTAAGATATTTTAATCATATTATAAAAATTGAACAGAAGTGTGGAAGAAGGCCCAGGACAGAGTAGGTGGGAGAATGCTAATCGGCGGTCTATGTTCCATTAGAGGTAACAGGTGTAAGTAAGTAAGTAAGTAACAACTTAATCTATAGAATTTAATTAGCATTAATTAGCCTAGACAAACATCACATAAATCAATATTCAGTGACCAATTAGTTGTGTATTGGCATTTGTTGATCATTTTGCACTTTTCTTTATAGAACTTATAGGTTATTAGTTTACCAAAAAAAGTGATTATATTACATAATCTGAAAGAATTAAACTAAAATCTTTTTTTCTAAACTTCTCTTTTAGGACTATCCTATTGTTGCAAATTTAGAAAAAGATTTAAATACAATTGAAAGTTTAATCAATGATTCATCGGATAATCTCAATAATGACACTACACCACACACAAATTCACATAAACAATTAGAATTACCCACTAATTATACACGAAAATCAATTAATCAACCACGACAATCACAACAACAACAACGTTCAAAATTCAATAAATTACCACCATTACAAACATTACCACCATGTAAACTATTACTTGGTCGTGTAGCATCAAATGAAGATATATGCATTGGAACTGAAACACCATTTTCATTTAATATTGCAGCAACTGATAAAGAGATTTGTATAACACGAGTAGCTTCAGTTGAAGATTTAAAATATCAACATGAACAACAACAACGACATGATCAATTAAACTGTGACAATAATAATCATACTAATAACAACAAAACTCAATCAATCAAACGAGATCGTAAACGTATTCCAATTAGTTTACGTTTAACATTTGGTTCTGAATCAAAACTTCATAAATCTACGCTACAATCTGATAAAAACGATGATTTAACAATGAAAAATTATCGTGCAATGTATTATGTAGATATACCACAAGGTAATAATGATAGAACTGTCGGTGAATTAAGGCGTAAAACAAGAAATCAATTAAAATGTGGTAATCATCTACAAAATATGATACGTTATAGTTTACCATGTATTACATATTGTGAAGAATTGCCAAAACCTATTTCATTATTGCCATCATGAGTTATATAGAAAGAAACGAACCGGTGATCTGTGTATATTTATATCATGATTAAGAAATAATCAATTCAACAAAAAAACATCATAGTTATCATTGATATAATTTGTTATATACAAAAAAAATAATATCAATTTTCTTCCCTAATAACACTGTATTATTCAAGTTATATGAAAGATAACTCTTTTTAAACATAGCGCCCTTTTTCTCCATCTTAATTTCAAACTTATGAATCAAAGATTTTAATTCATTGATTGATTAAAATCTACTGATAATTAAAAAAATTTAACTGAAATTTACTTTTTATTGATAATATGACAAACAGTGATTTAAACAAATCTTTGATCGAACAAAGAAATTATAGTGATCAGTATGAAACAATAAATTTTAAATGTTATAATTATTACTGCATTTAAACAATAATTAATCACTGCTTATTTGATATTATTGATAAACAATAATAGTGAAATGCTTAAAAGTATCTGAAAAAAAAACACTTAGCTATTTGATACTATTCAATATTCATTATGAACCATAAGCGGGCTTTTTTAAATCTTGCCACCCTTTTTTATATCTTTATTATTTCAGATTTAATTTAATTTGTTGGCTTTAAATTCAGATTATTTGGAAAACAACTAACTTCTCAATCCTAAATGAAATAAACAATGTAATTTCCGTTTTGTTTATACATGTAAAACTATATTCATATAGATAAATATGACAAACTAACTTTTTGATAAAATGCGTGAAACTTGACTATGAGTTATTGTTATTTACTAGGTAAAATTATGAATAATTATTGTTTTTTATGTGTATGGTAGACTAATATGGTGATGAATTCCGTTTTAAACGGATTGAAATATTCCGTTGTGGATATTTTTAGCTGAAATTTGGTCAGTTTCGGTTGGCATATGGGCATACAGTGTAGATTGATTCAAGATATCCTATATGACACAAATTAATATGTACAGACAACATCAACGAATTCAAGATGGTTGTCAAATATTAGTTTCAAGCCTTTCACAATTTCAAAGGGGAGAAAACTATCATGCAGGATAGCGCTAAGGAAATACAGAAGCATTAAATTCAAAGAGTCATGAAGTTTGTGGCTACAAGAAGCACCATCAAAAGGAATGAATTTCTGCTGATACTCTGAATAAGATTAAAAAAAGCAAGAATAGGAGGACAGCAATCAATAACAGCCGAATATGGGCAGATGTGGACAAGCCACAGGACAAATAGATAGGAACGAGCAAACAAATGAAGAGGCACGTCAAAGGTGATAAACATTACTCTGCATAACGTCTAGCAATCTAAGGTGCTAGGGGAAGAAAGGTGGGACAACTTACGATGCAGCGAAGAAAACAATATGAACAAGAACGGCCTATAGCAGCAAGCCATTCGATAGCGTGGACAGAATGACTCAATGGAGGCTTATTCAACACTATGGTTTACCTTAAAAGAAAGTCAACATCATACGAAATACGTCTGACTAAGGTACAAAATCGAGAGCCATGAAAGTCATCGTCCACAAGATGTACGTGCTTAATAACAGTTGTCAACCCGAAACGCTACAGATCCATTGTTTAGGCATCATCACAACCTACTGTGGCAGATCAGCTTCCATCTGAGGAAGAAATTAGGAAAAAGCGCTGGTCACGGATAGGATACACGTCGAGAAAATCTCCCAACCGCATAGCGAAGTAAGCACTAACTCTGCATCCTCAAGGTCAAAGGTAAGGAGTTAGATGGAAGAATACACTGCACCGAGACAAGTTGGAAACAACTGAAAACGAGCGCCCAGTGCAGAGTCAGTAAGTGAACCCTAGTCGGAAAACTATGCTCAGGCAACAGGCATAATTAAGTAAGTAAACTTACTGGGTTTCATTCTTTCAGGTTGTCGGGTGAATGAGCACGGTAAACTCCATTTTGCGCCAACGTTCGTTAACAGTTGTTTATAGCTGTTGTTTTACTATAGTTTTGTCATCGGTAACCACAGGTCATTATTATTATGTAGACAGTTTAGGTGAAATAAACTGGGATGAAATCAAAACACCTGTCCTACTATGTTTTTGCTCAATGTCACCTATTATGGTATTCGATTCAATATAGGGCTAACTACGTTTTGGCCGGCAACCTAATATTTATGAATATTTAAATATTTCAAAAAAGATATCGCCCCATCATCTTTTGTATACTATACTTAGGCGAACCCCGTTTGTGCGACGGCGGTAATGAGAAGCCAAGTACGGATTAGGTTGGATGAGTTTATTTCAGGCAACCATTCATGCAGACATGATAATCAAAAGCATACAAACAAAGATAAGTGGAGCGAAGTGGAGTAGATAAGTCGAACACTGAATATCTTCCTTTAAACTCGTTTGACACCTAGGAGGATGAGTGGTACGGTTTCGTACCAACTGTTGTCTTCGTGTGCTCAAAGAGCACTTTTAAGCTGGCGATGAAACTATTCAGCTAAACCATTTGAAGCTGGGTGGTAGGCCGTAGTGCGTATAAGCTCCATACCAAGCAGCCGGGTTAGTAAGGAGAATAATTCGGACTCGAACAAATGTCCTCAGTCAGTCGCGACAGTCGAGAGACAACCGTACAGCTCTATCCATCGTTCTACGAAGCGGTGAGCAACTGTCTCAAATAATTACGTTACTAAAGAAATGCAAGTTTACAGGCTAGATCATATTGTCACAAGTGCGTTCACATTTAATGTAAAAAATATCTCAATTAAATTGGATTTCTGATAGCACATTTACACCGCGTCACCGACAGAAACAGTATAATGACGCCACATTTTCAATAGGAGAGTACAAGCAGGGAAGGTGCACAGTATGTTTCTTGAGCGATTTGCTGAGATCAGTAGTGAATTTGTTGGGAAAGGTCAATTGGAACGTGCTTCATACAAGCTGTGATCCAGACATGCATGTACGTAGGGTCCATATTCCACAGAGGCGCCATGAATTTTCCACCGTGCATGGGGTTCTTAAAAGAGAGAAGAGAGAGAGAAAAAAAGGCAGCAGCGTGGCAAGTGTATATGCATAACTAAAGCACTACTTAACCTGTCATGTTGAAGTAGTCTATACAGTGGTAAGTCAAGATAAAATTCATACTGACCACTAAAATTAAAGTAAGTTATGGAAATATAAGAATATGACCCACACATGATGAAGTACAGCAATGAAGAAGGAAGAGTTGTGGAGAGTGTCAAGTCGGTAGAATAGAAGTTGAAGTAAGAAGCTGGATTTATGTACATTGAAATTGAAATTTCAGTTAAAAGAGTGGAGTTTGTAAAAAAACATTGATAATTAAAAATTTTCACTGTCCAACAGTTTTTTTACCGAATGCCAACCTATAGGTCATACTGTAAGCGCCTGAGTAAGCATGTTGCGGGTGTCTCGACAGAATAGCGACCCCAGCAAAGTTTTGGAAACATGAGCCTCAGAAGTAGAAAGCGTATTAGAGCAACTTCAGTGTTACTGATTAGTCGCCGAAAGCGAATATGTGATCATACCTATGCGATGGTGGCAATGGTCCTACAATGTCAGTATGAACATGATCGAAGTGAGCATCAGGAGCAATGAATGTGCCGGTAGGGTCGGCTACGTGCCTGTGCACTTTTGATCGTGGAAATTGTCAGCATTGCTTTACCCACCTACGGACATTTTTTCATGGACGACCAGACTTACCGTGCAGCGATGAGGCGTAACGTGGCTGTGATACCTGGACGAGGCAAGCCATGAAGGGCATCGAGGACGAGACGACGATAAGCAGAGGGTACGATGGGTCGGGGTAGACAAGTATAGGTATCACACAAGATAGTGCCTGAGGTGGTAGCTAGTGGTACTTCCTGGCACTGAAGGGATGTCGATTGTTATGCTTCTGTACAAGAGAGATCGCTTGCTTGGGCAGCAGCCATAGCATGAAGATCAAGCAGTGGTAAAGTGACAGCATTCACTTGAATACGTGACAAAGCATAGGCAACATAGTTCGACTCGCCTTTAATAAGAAGAAGTTCTGTCGTCAACTGAGAGATGTAGTCCACTCTCGTGGCACTCTCGTGGTGAGTAGCAGCCACACTTGATATGCAGAGTATACCTTAGAGGCTTACGGTCCGTGAAGAGAATAAAATGGCGAACTTCTACAGCGTACCGGAAATGTTTGACGGCACAGTAGGCTGCTAGCAGTTCTAGACCAAAAGCGCCATATCTCGTCTCAGTGGAAGTAAGGCGTAGTGAGAAAAATTCGAGAGGTTGACAGCTTCCAGAGATGTTCTGTTGAATAACGGTTCCTACAGCGAAATCTGATGCATCAAGCGCTATATTAAGCGTGTCTGAAGGGTCAGGAAGAGCGAAGAGAATGGCTTGAGCTGAAGCCTTTTTGATCTCTGAAAATGCAACACGAGCGGTATTGTTCAACTCAAATTTAGGTGGATTACCGCGAAGTAAGTCGGTTAATGATCCAAACTGTCTTCCACGTGAATAATAAAACGTCGGTAGAAGTTAAATAAACCTAAGAAAGCCTTCAGTTCCTTGAGTGAGGACGGTGCAGTGTACTCTATGATTGCACGTACCTTGTCTTCACAAAGTAGAATATCCTCCTGCTTAGTGATGTGACCCAAGAATGATATTTCTGGCTTGCCCAGTTCACACTTGTCTGGGTTAACTACTACTTTGGAATAAGAGCGTAAGATGTTGATAGTGTTCTTCTACTTTTGATGTTGTGATTAGCAGGCCAGTATTAAATACGTGAACAAAAGCAAAGTCTCGTAATACGCTAGCGATAAACCTTTGGAAAGTTTGAGTACCATTCCGTAATCCAAATGGCATTCGTAGGAACTCAAACAGACAGAAAGGAGTCGTGATAGTAGTTTTCTTGATAGCGAATGGGATCTGCTGATATGCCCGTACCTGATCAGTCTCAGAATAAATGGTCCTGCCCTTGATTGATGCCGTGATGTGGTGTATGTGGGGGATGGGATAGCTATCGAAACGTGTTGCTATGTTCAATGCGCGGTATTCGCCACATGGTCGCCAACCTATCCCATCCTTTTTGCCAACTATGTGGAGTGGTGAAGCCTAAAGACTATGGGAGGGATGAATAATACCAGTAGCGAGTGAAATGTCAGAATCAAGTTCAGCGAAAGCTGATTTGTCCGGTGCCAGTCGGTGAGGTTTTGCCTTGACTGGTGGTCCGCGGGTGACGATGCGGTGTACCACATGGTGAGTCACTGACGGAATCTCTTCGAGTGGGAACATTAGCAGTGATGAACAACCACAGATCCTTTCTTCAGTTGCTCAGGTTGACCGTCAGCTGTCGTGTACCATAAGTAGGAAGGACAGAGCCTTTCGCGGCTCTTAGTTGAAGCATCATAGGTCGGGACCTGCTGCTACCAAAAGGCACGACAGAAACTTGGGCACCTGTGTATACTAAGTACCTAGCGTTAGTGCGGATATCGTGCACGTAAAACAAGTGGCAAACCTGAGGTGAGACGCAAGTGAGTACGACCGAGTTTTGCTCACCGGTTCTGGAGTTTCCCGCCTTGTATGATCAGGAGGGCTAGACAATGACGGGCGCTGGACCTAAAAGTCCGGTGGAACCAGCACCAACCGTTACTCGCTTCCGAAGCCTCCTTTTGGGGTGGCTTGGAAGATGCCCACTGGGGGTGAGTACTTGCAGCCTTTCATGGTTGTGATCTGGCTCGAGGGAAGTGGGGTTCTGGAACGAAAGAATGATCTCGAAACTTGAGGCGGCTGTGGATACAGCAACCGCGGTCTCGTTGAGCATGAGGGTGACTAGCATCGAAGTTTACGTCTGTGTGTAACGGAGGCAACCATGTAGTTGTCTCGCTAGCCAGTTCGTGCTATAATTTTGTTTGCTATAAGGGAAGCCTAGTTGAGTGGCGTGTCCTCGAGCAGAGAAGTGATCTTTGTTTGAACATGTGCTAGTAGAGATTCAAGCCATAGTTCCTTGACTTTGCCAGAGTCGGCTATCGTAGGTCCTGCCGGGGATGAGGTGGTGGCGCTGTTGGCCTGCTAACAGGGTCCTCAATCGTTCCTCCTTCAATTGGAGAAAGTGTCTGAAAATCGCCTGTTTGAGATGAGGACTACCTCGCGGACAGCAGCTACACGGTCCCCAGGTAGAGATTCCAGAGCATAGGTATACATTTGCCGCTGGGTCATAATGTAGCGGATCTGGAACTTGGCTTCCAGTGCCGCAAACCAGACTTCTGGGTCGTGAGGTAATAAAAGCATCAGGTCGAAAACTGATGACCTGTAATTTGGAGTCTGTAATATTATATTCATTCATCAGTCTATCCACCATTATAAAAAGCTTTTGCAGATGGTATATATATAAGAAAATATCAATACATACTATGCAGCAGTTAAAATTATAGGAAATGTGGACAAAGAATGACAGACTCACTGTAGTTGAGTTAGCTTTGGCCGTAGCTGATGCGTATCCATTGTTGTCGCTCACCAGCTGTAGTGAGATTGAGACTACTAATCACTAGATTACTAAGTAAAATCCCGTTAAATCCAGAAATCAGAAGGAAGACTGTGACTGGATGACGAGGTATATTGATTTGTGGTCTCGTGATATCGAAAATATATCAAGACCGGAATAAAGCAGCAGCTAACTACCACCAAGGTAAACCAGTAAATGGTAGGAACACGCTTGGCGCGCGAGTTATGGACTTTAGTACATTTAAACTAAAAGGGATACAATAAAACAGTTATGGTTATAATTATTTATAATAATAAGAGTTTCCATTTCAGCATTCCACTACAGTTACTACCTAGTTTGTTTCTGTTTGGTCATGGAGCATAGACTTGCAAATACAGCACAAATCACATAACACGAGAAGACTGAACTGAAGCAAAATATATTAGTATTCTGGAAGATGTAATTTTCATTGTTACAAGTGAAGTCTTTAAAAAAGTCTCTCACCTAGATCTGATATTAAAAGCGGAAAGATTTGGAATTCACTGTGCATCTACAAGCGGGATAGTCGGCTTTCTCAGCGATAGAAAAAAAGATACGAGTGAGCAAAATCATATCAACATGGACATCTGTAAATAGTACAGATCTCCAAAATACAACAAGGCGAAATGATGAAAAAATTCGTTTACCTAATTCACGAAGATAAATTTTAAGATATCAAGGATATTTGGAGTTCGACAACGCTTTTGTCCGCAACATTTTTCCGATAGAGAACACTAAAAGTAAGTTAAAACCAGAAGTCAGGAACAAAGAGCATCGAAAGTATATTTGAATGGTGGTTGGGGTGTCAGGAAGCGAGGGAAGTAAGTTTACCAGTCAATACAAGGACATGCGTCGCACGACGGTTACCTGATGTAGATGTGTGATCAGGAGCCTCCAGTTGGGTGTGTCCAGTAAAACTACTGAAGTCAGCATCTATGTCGCGGACTTACAGACCTATTAATTTTGAATATTCATTTGGTGCTACAAACTGACACGACCATGATATTCAAAAATACTTTTATTTTGTATACTTATCTAACAGTTGTGCATGGGCCAGTATCTAAATTAAAAGAAAATCCGTTGATGTGAATGAACGTATGGTATTTGGTATGGGGTTTGAATCTGCTGGTGAATAATGTGCAAAGGAATCACTGTAGCTTACAAACACCGCATATCCTCAATCTGTCTTACCGCAGATCGAAGGATGCCGAATTTCCGTAAACTGTTTAATGACTTTAGTCTTTATCTGTCTTATCTTTTTTTCACCTGTTGCTGATCATTCGAGGGACATTCTGACAAAAACAAAAACGGAGATGAAATTGCTTGAGTTTTGAGTTTCGTTACTTGCAGCGAGTAGAAAACCATCAGAATTACCTACCACAGTACGTATTTTCACCACCTGTGGATGTGTAAAAGGCGATATTGGAGCTTCAAGGTACTGCAATTGCGGGGACTAGTATAAACTAATTGACCTCTCCTTACTATTAAAGAATGAAGTTTCAAAATCCATCTCTTACCTGTATTTTATCATAAAATTTAAAAATCTAATATTTTTTTATAAGTAAAAAGAATGAATACAGTATTCTTTCACATAGAAAGAGAATTACAAGTTGCTTTATTTACATAACCTTCGAATAAGTCAAGGTATTCCTGTATGGCGGTCTCTGTTGGCTATTGTCCAAAACGTAAAATGCTTGATGCTGATTCCTTGTTTGAGAGGCTGGTATGGATTATTTATTTAATATTAACGTGTACTTTTATTAGCTCCGTGAGGCTGCCAATTTAGTTCCTAAAATGAGCACTCCAAAATTAACTTACGCCCTAAAAGTGACGTCCTCACTTCAACAAAAAATAACAGACACAGTTGCATCAAGGTAATTAATTTGAGATTTTTAATGTGGATTCGTAGGCTACCACAAGAGAAGTCTGCGGAACTCGGAGATTCCAATAGACAACAAGTTCATTTAGAATCAGTATTATCTCGTGAAGGACTCCAGGAGGCTACACTTATCACCTCTGACTCTGACCAGGTTAGTTACAGGTTATATGTTTATTCCGGTGCTATGAACAGTGTTTAATGTGCATAGGTTTTTATCAATTAAGCCGCTCGATTAATCCACCCGTAATTAATGTGAGTGGTGGTTTTTGACTAGCGTCTTCAATTATATGGTGACTAAAATGCTGCTGCAGATTTGCTCAGTAGACTCAAATATAACATTTGATACTAGTGTCTCGAATCTATATCTAATGCTTTAGCTTATGTGGTTAGTATAAGCACCTAACTTTATCACTTTGTCATACGACCATCAACATATAGCAACTCACTTAAATTCCAATTTCTTCAGACTTACTTTTGTTATCAGGCTCCACTGATAATCCAGTGACTATCGCATCACCTTACTCCATACTTTTAGGAGTAAATTTTGTGTATAATTTAGTCACGACTGAACTTAGTTGAGTTGCTTGAATCTGTGTTTGTAATCCTAATAACCTGTGATACGACATCATTGTACATTTATAAGTTTACATTTTCGACTTATAGCCACTTTCTTTTATTGGCAGACAAGCAAAATAGATCCTAACAAAAGTAATAGTCGATCGAGAGAAATAGTCAGAGTGAAGGTACAACTAGTAGCAGGAAATAATATCAGTAAGTTGGAAATATAATTATCGCTTCTTGAATCAAAGAGCAGAGGCTGAGTCTGAGCATGTACTGCATATCTGTCTCAGCAATAACAATAGTAGGTGTCTCTCAAATAGATATTGAATAATGATGTTCAAGCTTTGAGTCAATTTCACTGAAATTATAACAGTCATTGTATATTATCTTCTACAATCCTTCAGATGAATATAAATTGATAACATAATTCCTTAGGTATCTAGGAATGGCTCTAAGTAGTGTACAAAAGGCAATAAAAGTCCAGCAACCGGTCTAAATTGTCAGATATCTTAGTTTATAGGGAGAATTACAATCTTTACATTTTCTTACGATCCTGAAGTTATTCGTTATCCGATACCAAATTGAAGCTCAAAAACAAACTACCTGTGCAGTTAAGTCTGCTTCTAACCCTGAGCTGGTCTTAATAACATAATTTGTATTAGTTTTGGCTTCTGATCGTTCTATAAGCTCGTTACAGATAAAAGTAACCCACGCCGCATAAAAATCCTGATCGTTAAGAACAAGTTACGAACGTTCAATAATGCATATTCATAAGGTTTATTGGTTGTGTCTTTACCGTGAGGTACCAGTTAGAACTGAGGCTAAGAACGAACAGGTAATGATGACCATCTGCTGCAACTATGCTCAGATGATCTTTTTCTAGCACATACCAACTCTAAGCATAAGTAAAAATAATTTTGAAATGGCAACCCCCAGTCGTCTCAACGTTGGCGCCAAGTGGACCACATTACTATCAGCCACCGAAGAATAGGCTCGATAAAAGACTGTCTCATTCTGCAGCACATGTTTAGATTCAGATCATGCTCTAGTACAAGCGCGTATTTGTTTGTATCTCATTGGGCGTAAGAAAAACACTGCACAGAAACCTCTTAGGCTTCTACTTTATGATAGCAAGTCAGTCAGTCACAACGTACATCAGTTCAGGTTGCCATACCACATCAACACAGAGACGCAGTTGTCACTTCGAATCCCATAGTGTTAGAGATAGTAGGAGTATTAGCAGTAATTGGAGAGGATATTATTAAAGAAGTATAATTCAGTGGAATGAACAAAAAGAGAAAAATAAAGGCAATAAGGAATTCTGAAGATTTGAGTTTGAGCGAACACAAAGAGTGGATGCACCTGCGTCAGTGCACACGGTTTTGAGCCATATCATTCAAGATCTCTAATCATCGATTTCTATCATCTCGCGGCTTCAACCAGGTAGTCGACACCTACCAACTTGACTCAATCCATTTGTCAGTGACTGCATGGGTCTGTGCCATGTTTTGGTCTGGCCGCCCCTAGCTTCCTTCCAACCTGCTCCGACACCACAAAACATTGCTCGTCGAGGTAGTCGGTGGTTGGGCATATGCAGCATATGTCCCAACCACCTCAACTGATGGAGTTTCACTACTTCATCAGTTGACCTGCCATCCCTACCTAGTACTCGTTTCTTAAAGACAGCATTGGTTACCCAGTTGTCCCAGGATATACAAGCAATGCTTCGAAGACACCTATAGTCAAAAACCAGTAACCTACAAATGTCTTTTACTCTTACTGGCCATGTTTCGCATCCATATGGTAGGACAGAGCGAACTGCTGAGTAGTGGTTGGAGAATGGATACCTCGCCTGCGCCATAAGTGACGCAAGTTGGCAAAAGCTAATCGAGCTTTCTGTCACAAGAGGACTTTTGTCCTTCCTTATAAAGTGGGACCAGTTAGATGGTATTGCTCCCAGTTTGCAGATTCTACCTAAGATATCAGTCAATCTAGCTGCTAAAACTGGACTACCGTCCTTAAAAATCTCAGGGGTCAGTCTACCAGTGCTTTGTGCTCTCTTTCGCTTTATATTTCCTATAGCTTTTTCAACTTAATAAAAAGTCGGAGGACGTAAGTCGATTTGCCATTCAGGTAGACTGAAGATCGTGAGCAACCCAAGTGTGGCTGAGGGAAATTGAATTGATCCTCAAAGTGTTTTGCCCATCGTTCCGATCTGGATTGAGAATGAATTATAAGACCATGTTTTTCCGAATTAGCTTCACTTACATTCGGATTCCTTATACCGGTTTCCTTGATAAGTCTGAATAGTTGTCTGCTGTTGCCTATCGCCGTTGCCTTCTCCATCTCCCGTTCTCGATCATTGCGTAGGCTTTTTATCAGCCTGTGCCTAAGCTGACTCCGCTCCTCATCGTACTCAGAGCCAGACGGGATGAGTTTCAGAGCATCCATCAGTTCGGTAGATGCTACTGAAATCCACCGCTTCTCCCTAACCATATGGTTTACCTTGCTAGCAGATATCACTGCTGTCTTCACAGCTTTTTGGATATCATTCCTAGCTGCCTCAGGGTGGGCTTGACTTTCTACATGGCTGCCTAAATGTTTTTCTAATTGTTCCTGAAATATATCCTCTGCTCTGTTATCATTAAGTAGAACCTTAATAGGCTTCGTTGCGGTGTCTTTCCTGTGTCAGATAAGCCTCAAGTAAATTCGCGCTCTCACTAAAGCATGATGTGAATCTAAACAAGTGATCCAGAATGAGCGGTAGTCCTCAATAGAGCCTCTCCACTCCTGTGAGCATCGCTGCAGTAGACAGTAGCCATTGTCTGATCTTTTAGCCACGATACCATATGATCCACCCAGGTGTCTTTCTTTTTCGCTTTGTCCACCTGCTTGAGCACTAAAGTCACTAGCCATTATTACTATATCAGAGATGCTTCTTTATTTTGACTTGAAGAGGTCAAGTGAATGACGCCGCTCGAATCCTGTATGCGCGCTTCGGAGACGCAGCATACATCGATTGAGCGAGATTCTAAAGCCCTAGCTAAGGAAGCCAGTTGTCCTATTTTGTACAATGTTCGTATATTAAATGCTCCAACATGTAATTTATAACGAGGTTTCAGAAGACCAGGAATAACGTTTCGGAAACTCGAATCGTTTGGATTAGCGGAGCAGCGTGGTACGAGTATACGAGAAGGGTGATTCATGGAGATAAGAGAGATGATAGGGGGGCGTAGGAGGAATTTGATTGTGACCAATTCGGTCTCGTGTGCTTTTATGGGTGTGAAGTCAGATGTCACTTCCCGGCTGCCCACACCGTGGAAAGTTGTTTCCTCAGGAATCTGATAAAGAAGGTATATTAGTGTTGGTCTTAGAGACCTTGGAGCGTGACCTCAGAGCCCAGGGGACAACTGCTTGAGTTCGCTCAAATGTGGTATTACAAGAAGTTGTACTTTACTTACTTACTTACTTACGTCTGTTAATCCTAATGGAGCATAGGCCGCCGACCAACAATGAGTTCAGTACTATCTGCAATTATTCAATTGTGTTTAATAATGGTTGAAATATCTTTCACGGTTATTGTCATATTTTGGTACACTTTTTTTCAATTTATCTCAATGTATTTATATAACTCCAAGAAATACTATCATATTCTCTTATTTCTGCTATACTAGATTCGTCGTGCTGCTCTGAATCAATTGGATGGAAATTATGGAGGATTTACAATTTTTCCTCAGTTGAATCATATAGGTTGGTTTACGGAATTTTTTTGTATTTTTTTTTGGTTCCATATAAGAATTTTGAACTAGCAGTATCTAATACTACCGTTTTTATTTCACTATTTTCTGACTGGTAATGCGAATTAGCAATTTTCTTTAATTTTTCTTTGTGGCAGAAAGATAGCTGTGGTTTGTAATGATCACTGGAATGATTAGTGTTTCAATTTACTATTATTTTAGACACTTACTATAGCTTACTGCGATGAGCCTATAGTGTTAGCAGTTTTTAAAGAATTATTTCGATCCTTGGGACAACCGAGTAAGCAATGCTGTCATTAAGAAACGAGTACTAGATAGAGATGGCAAATCAATAGATGAAGTATTGAAACGTCATCAGTTGAGTGGGTTAGGATATATGTGACGAATGCCCAACCACCGATTGCCTCGACAAGCGGTTTTGTAGTATAGGAGTGGCTTGGAAGAAAGCTAGAGACGACCAAGCCAAAATACGGCACAAATCCATGACGTCACTGACAAGTGAACTGAGTCATGTTGGTAGGTGTCGACTACCTGGTTAGGGTCCGCGAGATGATAGTAATCGATGCTTAGATACTTTGAACGACATGTCTCAAAACCGTTTGCACTGGCACATCTGTGTCCACTCCATGTGTTCTCTGAAATCCTGATCTTCTGAATTCCTCATCACCACTATTTTTCTCTTTACAAAGTTACGTCACTGAATTATACTTCTTGAATAATATCTTCAAACCCTAATCTTCTCCATTAGTCATTTAGTCATATGCAACGTAGAACCTCGTACGTAAGTACATCAGTTCATGTTGCCATACCACATTAGCCCAGAGACGCAACT